CGCTTCGCTTAGTACAAGGCGTTTATTTAAAACTGCTTTGAATAGGTTGATGATTCTCATAATCTATCTTTAGTCTTCGCAATAACATATATAGTTTTTATATAGTTTTTAAATATGAATTTCTATAAGTATCTGCGGATTTTCACTATGTTACCTCTGGCCAATGTAAATAATCACTCAAGTTTAATTAATTAACGTTATGCGATTCGTTTTGTGCGTTAGTCATCCATTTCATTATCTCCATGCTCTTCGTATCCCAGAATTTACTTCATTTAGATAGGACCCCATGCCCCGCTAGGGAAACGGATACTAGACAGAAGAAAACTTCATTTAGAAATGATAGGGAGTTCAGCAATATAACTTAAAAATCTTTAGCAGTGTTGAGTGCCAGTAAGACTGCCTACCTCATTGACATTATATTATATGTCATATGTCAATCCATAAATGTTTTTTTCGCATAATATACTTAAGTACTGTACTATTATGAATTAATGCAGTTTGTATATAATAATAATTTATATATTGAAAATTTTAGAGTATCATAATAGGTTAAGTTGAATCTTTGTAAGTTCTTAGTTTATAATTAATATGTAAATTTAATTAAAATAAAAACTTGAATTAAAAATGACTAACTGCTACTGCGTAGTACTTTTTATGAAACTTTTTGGTAAAATCGTAAAAAGACTGCAACTATTTCTAAAAATCTATATACCTAAACTCACTACTCTGCTTTTACAGTAATTCTGCTATTAGTTAATAATATTAAAAACATAAAATATACTTGTAAACAAGTTCGTGGTCAGAGTCTGTTACATTAGCACACTTGCAACATAAATCTTAATTTTTATACCTGCAATTTTGTGTATCTACAGCTATATTAGTCAGTTAATTCGTGTTTTTAACGCAATATAAATATATGTTAATGTACTTTATATATGCAGACATATGTGTATAAACAAATTATTTAAAAAAAATTTAAAATTTTTTTCACTTCAAATTAATACATAATTTTTGCTGGTGTATATTTAAAATGATTACAATTTAATTGTTTTGGCATTGGGTCAAAAAAGTTTATTGGCATCGAAGCTGTATGTGACTTCTGTAGTAGTCATAAAAAATTAATTTATGAAATAAAAATTCAGAACAATACATTTGAAGTAAGGTATTGTGTTCAATTGTAATTCAATATTTAGCTTTTAACCATTTTGAAGATTTTTTTATTTTTTATTACATATTTTATTTACAAAAAAATAAATCTAAATATTTTTACTTTCCTTTAGCAGATCATATAGATTTATGTTACATATATGTGATAGAACGAAAAAGTAATGTGTAATTAAAGGCGTTCATGAAATATGCATAGGAACAAAGACTTATTTAAATGTCAATGATAATTAAATTTAGACTGACAATCTAGTTCACCGACACATATATTTGCCAATAGATAGCAACCGATTAAACACTGGCAGGCCACAACTTTCTTTGTAACTTAAACATATTAAATAGAATAGCTAGCGACTGTTGCTTATACTAAAAATAGATAGCATTAATGTAAATCCATTCATAAACTATTGTATAATAAAAAATTAAATGATTTCATTTCAATATATCAATGGAGAATGTTCCCTTAAATAGTTATTGCTTGTTATAATAAATATGTTGCAGATAATCATTATTATGAAGATATAATAATCGATAACTAATTTTATCGATTACAAAATAAATCCATTTTAGTACAACTATTCTATATTAAAATAAGATATGGCTTTCAGTTGTTTTAGCGAATTTTCTTTAATGGCCGCAATCGACTAGAAGTGATTATTTTAGCTCCAAGAACAGTAAATTGTCATCCGAACTATGTGAGATATGTGAGAACTATGTTATGTGAGATGATATGTAAATATTATTTAATTTATTAATTAGTATCTGCAAACGGATCGAAGGTATGTTTTAAAGTATCAAGAAGCATTTGAGAGAAGACTTGAAATAGTCTATTGTATGTCTAATAGAATAGCACGCTCTGTCTCATAATACCTTCAGAAAGTAGTATAAGCATTATTTTGAAGCAAACTTGAAGTACTCCATCACATGTCTGACTGATTTATAGATATTTTTTAAAAATCGGAAATGTATGTACAAATTTTAAGCTCGTTACAGCATATCTACCTGATATGTGTTATTTTGTAGATAATAGAGTTTTTAAATTTTTCGAATTGAATTTTTAAAAAATTGAATTTTTTAAAAATAAAAAAAATTTTCGGAAAGAACAAAATAATTTTTTCTCTTAGATCAAAGATAACACATTAAACCTATATCTAAGCGATTTAAATTACCTATTTAACTGAAGTATCTTCATCCATCTTTACAACTTTACCAAGACTGCAAAAGTGCTACTAACTCACTAATTAACGACAAGTTGTCGTCGTCAACTTATTGAGCATCCAAAATCTTATGAAGATGTTTTCTTTCGAACACTTTGAGGTTTGCTTCATCATAATATGCTAGCGTCTATTCTTTCGTAGTGTACGAAAGCATACTTAAACTGAGCTTTATTGGTCGATTTTAGTCGCGAAAGGCATTTCTCTTCAGACGTGAGAATATTAGAATTAAACTCAACATCACGGATGTTAAAGGAGATTACTTTTTAAATATCTATGTTTAGAATGTCGGCTAAGATCATTAGTTTATGTATTTTCATAGTGAAATGTACTATATTGTTGTTAGATGAAATCCTTTTCGACTTTGAAAGTATATTTGTCAATACACATTTCAGTCTTGTAATCGATATATCATATACTTTTATCGTATCCGATTTTTAATACTCTATTATTTCCTCTTTTATTCTTTTTCTTTCTATAATTTTTGGATTATACATCTCTATTTTTCTTATCTTTTTTAATTTATTTTTTTTTATTTTTCCTTGTTTCTTTTTTTAAACTCTTTTCTGCAGTCTTCTTCTCTATTTGAATATATGTTAAATATTTAGTTCATTTTGCAACTTATCTCAAGACCAATATTTTAGTGAAAATTCTATATTCCCTTTAAAGAGTGTGTACAACTATTCAACAAATTTTTCACACTACTTAATGTGCCTATTAACCTTATAACCTTAAAATAAGACAAAGACAAAGACAAAGAATGCAGTTTGTGACACATAGCCGTAGGCTTTCATCAAGTTAGCATCCATTTTTCCAAACAAAAAGATGCAAATGATGTGCACTGCTGTGAAGAGTGAAGAATTTAGCTCAACTGCATAGCTAAGGAAAAAACTGCATTTTTAAAATTGCGTTCAAATTGAGATACAGCAAAAAATTCGCGTTTAGCCAAGTTCGAAAAATTAAGGCCGAAAAGCACAACTTGTGAACAGCAAAAACATGGCATATACCTGCGCTATTAGGGTTAATGATGGTTGCTTTGAGTGCTGCATGGGAGCACAAAGTTCAAAAATTATTTAAAAAAACGAGGAATGCATGCTTTAGCAAAGTAAAAAGCAAAAACAAATAACGCCCATGGTACTCGTCCCGACAGATTGATTCCACTGAAGTCACACTGATGTACCTCGTACATGATCGTCTCAATTAATTTCCAAAGCAGGAAAAAATATTATTTTTGAACGTAAGTTCATTAGCCCAAAAAAATTCATAACAAGCTCAGCAAAAAAGAAAAGGAAAATTTAAAATGAAACCTAAAAACAGACTGAACAGAATTTCGCTTCTGGGTAAATAAAAAATATCTCAAAACCTTGAAATGTTCAAAATATAGTTTAGTGAAAAATTTAATTAATGGCTAAAATGTTGTTCAGATACATTTTGCTGTTTGTATTTTGTTTTTAGTTTGAGATATTTTTGTTTGTTGGTAAAATTAAAAATATAACACAAGTTCCCTTTCAGCTATTTTGGTAATTTTTTATGAACTATTTGTGAAACATCTGCAGCCAATTATGGTAAAATATACAAAACTTATTGATACAAAAGAAAAAAAATTCGAAAATAAATAAATCAGAACTTTGTAGCAAGAGAAACTGTGGAAGTCAAATGAGCTACCAAATCTGAAGGAAATAAATTAATGATTGAGTTGACTTGGCGGATTGAATACAAATAATTGAAACTGCAATTCAATGTTGGTATGAAAAAAAAATTCAAAAATTTGGTCAAAATTTTCTTCTTTTATGCGAATAAAATCGGTGGCTTCAAAGAACAAGCAGACTGGAAAATTATAGAAAGTAAATAAGGAAACAAAACTGAACTGTTTACTACAATAAGTAAAGTTTCATTATTTCAATGAACGTTCAACAATTACTTATTTTATTATAAAAGAAAAAATTAATGTAGATAATGGTAACAACAATAAACTAATTCCCCACCTTTTAAGACTTTTTTCTTTTGGATTACAGTTGTATTAAGTTGGTGCGTCGGAGAAAGATTGGCAGTTAGAATGAATTAGAAAAAATAATGGCTTGCAGAGAGCGGAACACTGAGGCAATGATTGATGTTTTGTGTTAATCACTGACTCTAACTAAACAGAAGACACTACGGATCTGTTTAGATGACATCCAAAATGCCAGCTGTTGATGATATTCTAACTTCGGATAAGGATAGAAACTCCAGATCTAGCAGTCTTCTCCTAAACCAGATTAAAATTGGATAAGTGGAACAAAATGTGACTAGAGGTCTCGTTATTTTCAAACAGAAACAACAGTATATTATTTTAAACAGACTCAATTCGGTGAGATAACAACTCAGCCCATATTACACGTCAAAACTATGGACTTGTTGCTACCATATAAATTCTTGTATCACCAGACAGCCAATAAAACACCTGTGTTTGTTTGCCAGTTAATGTAGCATATCAATCAGAAGTATATCAGAATTTTGGAAAAAAAAAACTTCCAAG